ATGTCAATTAGAAAATCAGACGTTTTTCTTCTTTTGCGTTACATGACCCCTATCGCGGTTCATTGTGCAATGGTTCATTGGACAAGACTTGAGTTTTCTTATTATATTGGCAAGAATTTCTTTAACTTCCGAAACGGAAATTCGTTCATTTGTGTTTCGAGTAAATCTAACTTGTACATTAGTTTATTCGATTATTAGGTAACTGTTCTGTACATTTTGTGCCATTACAAGATTGCACTTCCCGGTCATTTCCTTTAAGGGGAATATCAATTTGTTAGTTATTCCATCAGTATATGTTCCGTCGACATTTGAGTGATAACAAGCTTTCATACATACGAAAAGTTCACGGACAAGGTGATTTACATTGTCTACTTTGAAGAATGACACATTTTTTATTAAATTGTTATCTTTAATTGATTTACGGAATAACTTCTGGAAATTTTTTGACGTTAGGTGACGATTCGAAACCTGTATTCTTTTTAATAATTTTAAATATCTTCCAGTTTTATAGATTTTTCTTGTTTTTTTTCTTTTAAAAATGAGGTATCGCAGGAGTTGACCATCAAAAATAGCAATCCTTCCATCCTCAAACAGCTGCTACCATTTGAACACTATGGTCTCCGATACGTGTAGGTGATCAACAGCGATATCTAAAACCATTTTAGTCTCATCTGGGCATTTTATTTTATGACTTTTTAACAGCTCGGTGTTCCAAGACGTTCAATGACGTCGCCATTCTTGACTGTTCTTATGCATTGCACATAGTGCTTTAGCAGCCATTACTTCTCGAATTTTAATTCAAAAGGGGGAGTTTCGATAAGGTCGCTCAGCGACCCACTTTTTTTCATAAAAATAAATTTCAATTTATTTTTTCAAAACTAGTTTAAAATTCAAGAAAAATATATTAACTTTTGTTATTTACATTTCAAAGGTTAATATGAGATGAATTCACACCGTAGCTGATACATACTTAGATGTACCCTCAGATCCGTTAACATTAGGCTTATGGGAAAATATAAGAGGGTGGCATTTAAAAATCGATGTTTAGAATATGAAGTGCATGAGGGACACTCACCTAATTTTTTTCAGTAATTAGATATACTCTGCACACTAATTTCTTGAAATATGATGAGTGTCGCGTGTGCACTTCATATCCAAAAAAAATGAAAATTGCATAAAATTTGCATATCTAAAATTAGAAGCTCCTGGTTTCTTGATCTGACTCTGTGTTAAAATACTCGGCCAAAAGTAGCATTTTTTTTTTTAATCAAAGAAGATTCTCGATTATATTAACAGTAGAAAACATTATCGTATCCTATCTTCATTTCGACAGTTTTTTTGTCACCAACGTATAACGTTAACGTCACATTTTTAGCTCACCTCCTTGAAGTTGGGGGAGCTTTCGTAATACCGTCGGTATCGGTGTTCCAGGTAAAAGTTTTTGAAGCAGATTTTTTTTTTCAAGTATATCTATGCCCTATATTATTCAGAGTCACCCGATCCAGCGTGTTTCCTTGTCACCAGTCAGATTTCAGATGCTGGATTTTTAGCCAAAGAATGTCCAAGTAAATGTTTTAAAAGCAGGTTTAAGTTTTTGGAGCAGAGCAGCTGAAAGCACTTGTTGACCAGACTTGCTTTATGATGCACACTACTATATTGCTTCAGACGCTGGATATGACCTACATTTCATTAATAAGTGAGCAGGTTAAAGATTTTGAAGCGGGTCTCATTCTTATATAACTATAAGCCCCATCGTGACCAAACTTGCATTGATGATGCATCTAGGATTGCACATTACCAGACATAGTTCAGATGCTGCATCTTTCTTACATTTTTCGACTGACTGAACAAAAAATAAGTTTTAGAGCAAGTCCATTCCTTAACGTTATTTATCATGCATAGTTATATTTTTGACTTTCTTGTAAATAGAAATCCACGCTCCGACATGCTAGAGAGGCGCCCATATATTTATGTGTGGTTGATATAGGAAACGTGGCTTGTTTTAAGTCTGGATGTCTAGGGGCATATGTCTGCTTGATTACGGATTAAACACGTATCTTTGGCGTTTTCACATGTATTTCGAACTGCGCTCTGTTCTAGCAAATCATATATAATGAATTCTAGAACTCTCTAAATGAGAAGTGACTAGAAATGGTGTAGAAACTTAAGTATCTATGGAGATTTGAGAAGCGAGAGGAAATAAGTCCTGGCTGGGATTCTCTCAGTTATGCTGAAAACATAATGCAGATCTATGTGGGCAAATACTTATAAGTTTCATAATGAGAAGGAAAATTTAATGCATTATAGATTTTTCCATCATATTACGTATCATGATAAAATATTTTTGACTGTAATCAATATCATTCATATTATCAAATACATTGCAATATACAGAAGCCAGTAGGTGCAAGGTAAAAAAATATGTTATCTGTCGGCCGCCAGATAAGTTTCTGCCATTGAAAAATCTGGCGGCCGCCAGATAAAATTGTAGTGTTTTTGCCAATCAAGTTGTAGCACCCAATGATATACCTCAATGCACTTGATTGACAGAGGTACACAGACCAGGTATTTTTGAAGGCGGTGCTTAAAATCTCTGCCTTTAAGGAGGCTGGGGGGTCAAGAAATTAACCATCAGATATAACTTAATTTTTTAGATATGATATCTTAAGCTGTCAACTATTATTTGGCAAAGAAAAATTTCATAAATTTTTGTTTTAAAATTTGATCATTTTTGTATATCTTTATATGGAGCTCTTCTTCTGAAGGAGGTCAATATAGTCTGAAAATGGCCACAACCCCCCAGCCATCTTAACGACATCTACAACTTCTCTTTGAAGTCAAATCTTGGAGTTTCATGCCTTATTAGCAAAGATAAAATCTACACTTCATACAAAAATTCACTTCATAAGGTCTTCACCTCATAACTTTAGATTTATGTTTTATTAGATTACATGTCTACACCGTAAGGAACTTATTTGTCGGATTCTAGTTATTTATGTTGCGGCCAACAGATAAGTTTCTGGTCGCCGCCAGTCATTTATGTGGTGGCCGCAGGAAAACTATTTGGCCGCCGCCAAATATATTTTTCTAGCGACCGCCGGATAGTTATGTGGCGGCCGTCAGATAAAATATTTTTCTTACCTTGCACCTACAATGTACTGGCATACCTAGCAATATGATGCTTTTAAGTAAACTTTTTATTCATGTATGTATATAAAATTGCATTTATTTTTTAATCTTTTTATTTCAAAACATGTTATTTAATTTCAGTTTTATGATATTAAGGTATATTTTTATAAAACATGTAGTTGTGTAACCTTATTGATAAAAATGTAGTGCATATACCTGTATATGACGTTTTTACATTCACCTATCTCATGTCTTCATATCTTTTCATTTGCATTTTTCATATGGGAAAATGTTAAATATTGATTATAAAGTTTATGTATAAATTGTCGATTAATTATGATGTTAAATCTTTCTATATATGTTTACGTTTCATAAGTTAAATCCATCCTCTTTTAAAGAAAAGTAACATTTGACAGACCAGAAAAATATCGCATCTTAAAAAAACATTCGCATAAGATAAACACCATTTTCCGTAAAAAATTGTTGAGATTGGTTAATTTATGTCTTTATTCATATTTATCCTATTTCATTTACGATTTTGACGGTTAAAAAATCCACTTTCCCCCTATGAAAATGTCTACTCCCAAAATATACGAAATGGGGGTATACTTAAATTTTCAATTATCACGTGACCGGAAAATACGTAACATAAATTATTTTCATATTTTTAGGAAGTTTAGAAGTTTTTCTACAAAATATCAAAATTTCATAAAATTTGAAAAACGGCCTTATCGAAACTCCCCCTTTCCTAAAATGACGTTTGATAAATATTGTAGCGACCGACAAATTGAATATAATAAATCTTTATGCGCAAGAGAACAGTGAAATTTTTAACTTCACAACATTGTCCATATAATAAAAAATGCAAAAATGTGATTTGCTCCGTGAGGCATATTTCAACTTAATATTAATGACATACATGACTTATATCTGTTCCCTGCAGAGTTTTATTGAATTCATGTGAATAGCGCACCCACAAAAGAATTAGTTCGTTAACTTTTAAAACAGCCGTCGGAAAAAAATCTCAGAAACAAAAAAAATTTTTAATGCTTAAAATTGTCAAAATTTCAAATTGTTTGATTTTCAATCGAAAATAAAACGTTCATTATTAACTTTTATCCGCTATTTATTATTAGCTTGTTTTATACACTAATACTTTAGCACCTGGAACCCTGTAACAATTCTGTTAATGTTAAGCTACAGCTGAGTTTTTAATTATTGTTTTTTCTTCGAGACCTTCACAACAACGAGAAACTGGACGTGATGTTTTATTCAATAAAAAGTTACTTTTGGGTGTATTATAACTACAATGTACATCTAGCATATATCGCGACAGGTGATATCCAATAAAAGCAACAAAAATTAAAAACGCATTTTACTTATATAAGTTTGCTGGAATCCCACGTCTCTCTCTCTCTCTCTCTCTCTCTCTCTCTCTCATCGAAGTTTTACAACTGTAAAATAATGTAACATAATATACAGGAGAAAGCTTACATATATATATTTCTGCTACCTAATCCATTATATACACATGACATGTATCTTACATTAAAATAAAATTTTCAAATCAATGATTATAGTAGATCACTGCATATTAAAATTTATAAAATCAACACACAGCGACAGGTTCGTTCATTTTACACTTGTTTATTCCCTAGAACTACATGTTTGGTACATGAAATAGAAAGAGGCATTAACAAGTATTTTAAAATCGGTTTTTACAAAACACATGACAATCCGGCTTGTTGATCCTGACAGTGATTCAAAGTCTAAAAATTTTTGGCGGATTAAAACTTAGTAATTATGATAGCATACATAGTAATTTTAGAGTAAATATTATCAAATTCTTATGTATTAGAATAAAAACCACTCGCCCGCTGCTAAAAACTAAAGTATATATTAAGTAGTATCAACGATAATCTTTAATTAATCAAAACAAAAACCCACATATACATGCATACGTACATGTATACAAAGGTTTTTTTTAAAGCATTCTGTTCAAAGGTTCCTTTCTGTAGGGTCCTAAAACTGTACAATATTCATGGTACTATGGCAAATAATTGTATCTTACATGTCAGTTAACTTTTAAGTTTCTCTACCCCAAGTATCACATTTCAAACATTTCTTGTTTTCTCGATTATATTACAACATGTTCATAACTCATTGATCCATTGTTCTGTGTATTTATACGATAATACATCTACACCGCATAAAATCTGTTAATCCCTAAAACCGTGTCCAGCCTGGGCTTGAAAGTGTCAATGTTTAAAGCTCACCGTGACCATAACAATAGAATGTAATTACATTGTCAAAGGTTATAATTACTTACGCAATTGGGTGAGATAATCTTAATCCTAAAGATTTGCTCCAGCCACGGTAACGTAAAGAAACCCCAGGGTACCCGTAATTGAGATTGTCAAGATAAAGCAAATCAAGTTAAATACTTCTGAAAACTGTTTCCAGCCAATATTGCTGTATATGTTTTTCTCACTTTTATTTTCTATTAGCCCCTTCTCGAGACTCTTAACTCTTATTATCCGGGTACTTGTTAACTTCAGTGATGCATTCTTCCCATTCTGTTGAGTCTTGTTTACCATATTTCTCATTTCCTCGGAATTCCTCACCGACTCTGTCATGGAATCCTTTTCATTTACTTGCATATCAACATTCTTAGTTTTCTGGCCCCGACACAACAGAAAATGGGTGATTCTTTTAAGACATAAAGGCATGGGTGAATTTTCGTCTTTGTGACAGAGCCATAGACTTACTATTGTCATGAGACAGATAAGAGCTGAGGTGAGCACCAAGAGCATAAGAAAGCACGACAAAATAGAGAGGGGTTTCGATGTTTTGGGTAACACATCTGAGGTTAATGTCAGAAAGACAGCTAGAGACAGTAAACACGTAATGGCGTAACCAACACGCTCACCGCTTTCTGTCGGCAAAATAAAAACAGCTGAATTCAATAACATCAACATAAGAACAGGCACATAAATACCCAATATGAAATATCCGGGATGTCGTTTCACTTTGAAGGAATATTTTAAAGAAGCATACTTGTTGGAATGTTTCGTGAAATACTCCACCGTTGTCTCTGATCCAAGGATCTCCCACATACCGTTTTCGGAGTAAAATGACAATTCAACATCATCTTGTGTTTGTTGAAAATCAACTTCGTGGCTTCTGTAAATCCATGGCATAAAAATAATGCTACAAGTTTGCACATCGAATGGAAAATGAGTAACATCAAAACTGCACACGGTTTCCAAATAGTCATCAATTGTTAACAGAACGGTTCCTTCGTTATATAAAACAACACTGCTCTCTTGCAAGCCTAGTTTTGTGATTTTTTTGACAGGATTTCTAGCAATGATTGAAGGTGTCCAGATTTTGTTGTGTTTAACTGTTATGTTTTTGATAAGAGCATGTGACGCGGGATTCCAGGATAGCCGTTCGTCATTCCATGTCAAAGAGAGGCTGATGATGGTGGAGAAAGTCCCAGTTATTTCATCAAGTCCAGCTATAGACAGTAGATGCAGTGTCCCCCGTATCACTGTGTGGGCTTCAGGTCTTACTTCTGTTAGATATTGTGAAGTGCTGGAATTGAATATTGCTGACTGCAAATTCTCAAGGTCCATTCTTGTTACAGAGTTCCCCAACGATATACAAAGAAAACCGATAAATAAACGAAAAAATAACATCGTATTTTTTACTTTCAGTAAATCATTCTAAGCAGCCCATTTAACGGGAAAAAAGTTTAAAGTTCATCAAAATATAAGTAGCAAATTTACAATTAGCATTCTCGTATACCATTGGCTGGAAAATGTAAACAATAAACAAAACAAAATCAGTGGCTATTGAATAATCGTGACAGCGTGTTAGGTAAGTTCCAGACAAACACCACATTCATATCATAATGCCTTGTATAACGACTTAAAAAAGGTCAACTTAGTTTCTGAACTTTATTGAATATGGGAAATATGTATAAATGGTACACGTGCACATATCAACATTAACATCTATAGAAGAATTAAATCAAAAGTTTTACAAGCCTGGAAAGTTCTCTATTGTTATCTGTATTTAATACTGGTAGTCATTTACATGTATTTGCACTTATATATGTACTTCTGTTAGAAATGCAGATGCATGTCCGTTTTATTACAATGACAGAAAAACTCGTATAATTTTTCGATTACTTAATTTATACAGTACATACTAATTAATTAGTTATGCCATATTCGTCTACACAATAAGTATATTCTGTGTGCTTTATTGTCAACATAATGCAATATATGTATTATGTATGCCAAAGAATGAAAATCTCGAAGTCCAAGATTCCGCTTTTCTATATAAATGAAGTTTTGGCATTAACATAATCTTTCATATAATACTTTTTTTGGTTTTAATACTTTCTATACAGCTGTACCACACTAAATCTTTATTTTAAGGAGAAAGTCAGTGTGTTTTAGCAGCTTTTGCAAATTAAGTTTCTTGTTTCATCTCAAACACACGAAAAACACTCTAAGAATTACTTAGTCCTACATATGGGTAAAATGTGATAACAAAATATGTATAGAACTTGTATGCTTACTGACAAAAATCTACTTGGAATGAGCGAACAATTTTCACATTTATTAGGCCTAAATCTAAATAGCATAATTTTTTAGGTCTTTAATAAAATTTAATATTTAATATAAATTTAACATAATTAAAAAAAAACTTGGTTGTTGAGACATTAATAACTTAATAAATTCTACTTCTATTTTTTCCCAATATGCTGATAAGATAGGTAGATCCAGGTAAATCCCAGACAGTAAACAAATATAATTGCTATCAAAAACGCATTTCACACCTATTGTTCTATACCTACATTGCAATTAATGTGTGCAAAACGGGAACACATCGACGTAATGACGATCATGACGACGCGAAGAAATAGTTCTAAGGTCACACGAGATGTCATGTTGTTACGGCAGCATTTCATTTCCGGAATTTTTTTTAAAAAATATTCAGCTTTTCATTTCTTACATTTTACAGTTTTCATCTCCGACATTAATCATAAAGTACTTTCCCGCAATGAACACAGAATTGAAAACTTTATCTTAAATAATAAATCAAGAATAAATCATTGATATCCAACATAAATCCTACACAGTCACTGACATATACTTCAGTGGACATAATTGAATTTAGGGAACAAAAATTGTATGCTCATTTAAACTCATACAAAACTTTTCAAAATCAGACTTAGTGCTGCATGTATAAACAGTGTATTTTTATATTTTTTATTTGAAAAATGTTTGAAATAAGTGTAATATTTATATCTTGTTAAAATTTCATTTCCACCTACTTGGTTAACATTAAAATTGGCGTGAGAGTACCTCTAAAAACTCCGGATATGTAAAAAAAATGTCGGAAATGAAATAAAAAATGTCGGAGAAGAAAAAAAATTGTCGGAAATGCAACGCCATATCTTTTTACGATTGAAAATCTTGAAAAATTGTTAAGTCGTACGAAAATTAGATCATCAGAAAATTATCTCCCTTGCCTTGAACAGTATTTCAACCAATGAAATAATTGAAAATTTTTACATCATGCAATTTCTACCAATCACAAAAGAGAGGGAGTGCATAGTCCGAACTCTCTATACCGTCTTCCAAGGAAGACGGTAATAACACGCTATTTTATTTTTTTTTTTTTACAATAATTACCAAATTACTTTATTTTCATTGTTAACAGAATTGATCTTTATTGCATGCAAGCATTACAGCCTGTATGTATTCTTTTCCCGTGTTTTGCACTTCTTTCTAATAGCGGCACCTAAGCCGATTCGTACTGACCTCATTTACATATCGAGCTTTGCCGAATGATCTCTGCAGCAGAGTCGAAGTTTAGGGAGACAACCGAGCTTCTGTTAACTTTTCACTTGGTAGGGCTTATGTCAGAAAAAAAACTAATGAAGAAATACAAAGCCAAGAAATTTTCAAGAATTATACGGCCTGATAGTGGTAGGTCAGTTTACTGTTTAAGCTTGTGGCTAAAGATGGTGAGCTTTTTGAAAAAGCTCTACTTGTATGTATCTACAGATAAACTTGAGAATGGGGTAATATTTGCATGACGACTTGAAAAAAAACGCTCTTATGTATAATATTATGAGTTTATTCACCAATTAACCCAGGGCCATTGGTGGAATGTACATTTAAAGCAATAATATAGTCATGATTATAATAAGTTATGCTTGCATTAAATGAATGAAATATTGTCCGTATTTTCAAAAATATTAATTGCAAACATTTACAGAATTACTAGTACGTTTTGAACATATTTATTTACTGACAATATGTCAAAGGGATTCGACACAAGTTCCAAAAAACTTACGTAATCCTCCCACCATAAATAAAATTTGAATAGCCATACAACATTTACAAAGATTTGTATAACATACATGTACATAGAAAAAAAGCCGTGTTTATTTATAGCTAAGGAATTTCAATTAATAAAATTATGATGATTATAAAGATAATAATGATGGTACTAATACTAGTTTCAAAAGAGGTAATACTTTTTAAATAAAGGAAGAACTTGTGCTAGTTTCCATGGCCAACATTGAGTCTAAGAGATTTATTAAATAACAAATAACGTGGCTTCGCTATTGATTCTTTACAAGATTTTAACATTATATTAATACAACCAGGACCACAGCTTTATTTAGGGGGAGGATAGAGATAATATTGATAATCTCATTTTCATGTATATTTAAATCACTAAATCTTTCTACATCTTTAGACTCAAATGCTGGTGAATCGTACTCCTTATCTTTCATATCAATCTGAGAGATCGATATAAAAAAAAATATTGAGCAATCCAATTTTCTCCTTAACGAAAATGCGTAAACAGGAGCGCTGTTTTCATTTATTTTTTGATAAGGGGTATTTCGCATGCAGTATATTGGCGTGAAAGACATCATTTAATAATTTCTAGTATAGCTTTTTCTTATCATTTTTATTTGCGTCTTACATTTAAATGTGAATCAATGTTTTCATGATAATTTACTATGGGATATTTCTTCATATTACTCGTATTTACTTTATTTCTAGTTTATTATATATTGTGTTGTATTTAAATACATTCCGAAGGCACATACATATTTGTAGCAATAACCAAATTAACTCCAAAACCTATAAATGTTATATTTTGAAACAGAAATACGTTGACTAAATCACCAATCACTATCATTTTTGTGACGTCACTGTTTGAGTTGATCCACACTGGAATTCCTGCTTTAAAATAACACGTTTTCTCCAAAAATGGGCAAATTCGTCACAGTTTCTTTTAAAGATTTCCTCTGGCGATTAGCACATAAATAAAGCCTAAAATTCCCGTAAAAGAAAGTGTAACAACAAAACAGAGAAAATTGAACAATTCTGAAAACTTTTTCCACGTCATTTCCGTATACGGGTCCTCCTCCTTTTCATTCTCTAGGGGTCGTTTATCATCCTCCTTCTCTTTAATCGGTTTCAGAGGGGCCTTATTTGTTTCTTTCGCCTGTGTTTTCTTCATGACAACTGCATGGCGAACAACTCCTTTAAACTCGCTTGTTTTTAATTTCGGCGTTTCGACAGACACAATAGATCTATCAGATGTATCATTTGTGTTTTGAATTTTACGGCCTTTACAGAGCATAAGGAAAGTAAACTTTTTCAGATAAATAGGCATCGGGGAGTTTTCGGGTTTGTGGTGCAGCCATACGCTTATTATTGTGGTTAGACAAATAACAGCAGACGTCAATACCAGGAGCATCATGAAACAGGACAAAATGGATAATGGGTCAGAAGTCTTTGGTAAAACGTCTGCAGTCAGAGTCAAAAACACGGCCAACGCCAGTAAGCACGTAACTGAGTATCCGACACGTTCTCCGCTGTCTGTTGGCAGGATGAAGACGACGGAGTTTAGAAGGAGAAGCATAATGACAGGGATGAATATACTGAGAACAAAATACGACGATCTACGTTCGAGGTTAATCGTATATTTCAGTTCAGCGTAGATGTTACCTGTACTTGGCGTGACAATGTAGTTCACAGTCGCTGTGGTACTACCGATATTCCACATGCCATTGGAGGAATATAAATTCAAATCAACATCACTCCTCCTTTGTTTAAGTCCAACCGAGTCATTGTTGTAAATCCACGGGATGAACAAAATTTCACACTTTTGATGATCAAATGGGAAATGTGTTACGTCAAAACTGCAGACCGTCTCCAGATAGTCACCAATATTCAGAGTTACGGTGCCGTCACTGGATATTGTAACTACATTATCTTCTAATCCTAGCCTTTTCACTTTATTTGCAGAATTTCTCATTATCATTGAAGGCGTCCACACTAAGGTTTGAGGTACCACGATGTTTGCTAGATTGTTGTAATCTGCTGGACTCCATAAGAGTCGTTCGTCGTTCCAAATAAGAGCTAAATTGACCATAGTAGAAAACGTTCCTGAGACCTCATCTAAACCACTGATAGACAAAAGGCTTAATGAACCCGTCACTTCCGTGTAAAGAGCTGGGCGGATGTCTGACAGAAGCTGGGTGTTTGATACGCCCAGTAAGAGTTTGGTGTACAGATTCTCAATGTCAGTTCTGTTAGCAGCCTCTCCAACATGTAAGAAAATCAGAGATAACACAAAAACTATCAAAATCATGGTCCCTTCTTCTTGTATGAAAGCGAAAAAATAAATAAAGTCCTTAAGCAGATCCCAAAAAAAGTATCATTACATGTACACTAGAGATCAAATATCTAGATTATAGGGATCCATTTAAAAATAGACAATTAAGCTGACAGTATTTCGCACAAAGGAATTTAAATAAACCAGTTTCAATACATTTCATAAAATTGAATTTGATCTTTACCAGATAAAGATCAATCCGCATGGGATAAACATCGGTTTGTAAATATCAGGTACAACTGTAATTTCAACACACGACCGATAAAGGTGGAAGGGTAACTGTTAAGTAACAGTTATGTACAAAATAAATCTGTCTTCTATATAAGATTTTTGCATGTTCAAACATCTGAATGACCTTCTTAGAAATATGTACACGTAAACAATTCAAGCTCAAGACTCGTCTTTATGTTGTGAACAAATAAAAAAAATTCTGAGGCATATTGGAAATGTTTTTGAATTACTACAAAATTATTATGATTTAACAATATATATATGCTGGTAAAAATAAATAAATTCAAATATTTGTTGATAATTATTTGAACTGTTTTGGTTCTATAAGGTTGAGGAGTTTTTCAAACAACGCAGTTATCCATAAGCATATTTCTTTTTCGAAACTCCACACATTTCCAGTTTATCCCCCTTTTTTGGTCAGTTGCCTCAAGTTTTAATAGAGATACAAAATACCTGTAATTAAGAAATACAAATACAACTCAACAATGAATGTTTGCGATTTTAAATTGGAAAATTCAGAGATTATCTTTCAAATAAAAACTTTTCATTGAAATTCATGACCTTTGAGCGCCCTACACTTACAATATGATGGCCTCGCTGTTAAATTTTGAACTTGATAAGGAACCATACAGGAATATCTGAAATCTTATTAAAACCCTATCGCTGATCTTCTGATGTTTTTGTTCAAAGGATGAAATTCTTGTGAGACTCAACAAAGCTGTGAAAATAATACATTACCCAGGAAAACACTGATTGTTAAATTAAATTTCTATCACAATGCACTGTACAGGTGTAAACCTATGTAAATGAAAGGAAATTTAAACGCATTTTAAATATTTTAAACATACATGTCAATAATTGTATATGTATTTCTTTTCTGTGTCTGCGACACTCTATACAGCTTCATTTCATAACTTAAAGAGGGAAAATTGTCACAGTGATTGAACTCTATCTGTATATCCAAATTTACTTTGTTTTTCTTTTTTTTTTCTTTTTCTTTTTCATTTTTGTCGACATTTAAGACTTCTGTTTGCAATGTTTGTTTTTAAGGTTTTCCATCCCTAATAGGCCCAATTTCTCCATCCTTAAATATCCAACACGTATATAATATTCTGATATTAATTTAAACCATTTTTCAGAAAAAAAGGATATACATGTACCAAGAGAAATTTTCAAAAATTTAATTAATTAAGCAGTAATTAATTAACAAAGATTGCATTGAAGTCTATGGAAACAAGTGATTTTTTAAAAATAAAAATTCAAATAATAAGAATATCAATAAATACTGTGGTGGAAAGATGCATTAAAACATTAGAAATAGAATTGAAAACTTTTTTTTGCCAGATATGTTTTTTTTTTAAATTGATTTATATTACTAAAAAACAGAGGGAGATAACTCTTCAATAAAGTTCAAGGTCATAAATTAGGACACATTCCACACATGCTAATAGTAATAAATGGGTATTATAATGTCTAAATATATTGAGTATTCATTTCCTACACATGTTATGTATTCAATTTCATTGAATGTGATGCTGTTAGGGATGGAATAGCTAAAACTAACAAACTGGAATTACTTAATACATTAAAAAATCGTCTCAACAATTTTCTTGAAGAAAGGATCAACCCTATTAAGTATTTCTTCATAATGTAAATGAAGGCTAAAGGAAATTCGGACTATTATCGCTACATTTTTCTTCTTTTGACTTGAAGTTTCTTGTAATGCTTCATAAATATTAGAATAGAAAAAAAAATTAAGAAGAATTTAAGACAATCTCTGTGTTGTAACCAAGGGTTGAGACATGTTGAATATTATAATTCACCACGTGATTTCTTACCTCAGGTAACTTTGTGAATACTAAATTCCGTCACGTGACTTGTAAGGTAGCATGTTTTGTGTTAACTAGGACATTGTGTTCGAACACGTTAAGTCATCTGGCATTGATATAAAATCTGCTTTAATTACATGGACGTACATGTACTCATATTGTTAATTTCGTTTTGAAACCTCTGTCAGTAGTGTATTTGTGCCATATAGAATGGAGAGGGATATGGGAAAGAGTGATCACGTTCCTTATTTTAAACATGTCATTGTTATTTATCTAGTCTAATTTTATACACATTCTTACGATGTTAGCTCCACCTCTCAGGCATATCTAATGTTCAATCAAGGGCATATAAGAGTAAATTCTCTATATTTGGAAAGCAGTAAGGACAAAAAACATCGAATCATTTTATTGTAACACAGTCTAAAACCATTTTAAGATTTAAATTTGGTTCCAAATTGACAGGATTCTTTCATAAATATACAAAAAGGAAATAAGGTTTATATATAAAAGCAACAGAAGCAACCGAAAAAGACCCAAAAACCGGCGTTAAATGCAGTCATCCTTTATGAGAACTCTGACTGATAGCATTTTATTGTAAAAAAAAATCTTGAGTTAAACAAGGTTTTCCCTTATCACCAACACTATTCCTGAAAGTAGGTAACAAAACAACCCTTCACGAAAGGCAAAAGGTATTCAGTCCCTCTTCGGTTAAAGAATATACGACATGAACTTTGCCAACACTATTCCTGATATTAGTAGTTGTTGGCTAGATATCAAGATAGCCCTTTACAAAAAGTGCAAGAGAAATTCAGTCCCTTTCGTTAGAGAACATACGACCTAGAATTTCTAGACCTTCTACTTTTATCTCACACTCTAACAGACAGTGAGACGGTGTGAGACAAGGTAAAACAGATGCAACAGGGGGAAAACGAGGCTAAAGATCTATACCACGAAAATAAAGTTAATGAGAGTCATGACCAAATCTTCATAAATATTAAAAAATAAAAAATAACGCCAATTTGAAAATCATGTCGATAGTTTTGAAATTGGCTCAAACAAGAATGGCCAACGATATTTCCTATTTAGGAACTAGACAAGGAGCCTTCGAATTCATTCCAAATTTGGTACTTGTCTCACCAAGTGAAATATTTTTTCAACTCTCCGGTCCACTAATGTGAATACCGTCATTTGGAACTCTCCGGTCAATCATGAACAGCCCATAGTGTCGAATATAATCTACTTCCATGATTGTTAGAAAACGAATTATAAACGTTGTTTGGTTTTCAATGATTTTGCTGTATTTCTTTAATTTAAACCAGATCTGCAGCAAACCCTTTGCTTCAGGTCTATGTTTAAATTGGACACATGGCTAATTTGCTTATTATGGAGGCATTGTTAGATATTCAAGTGCAAGAAAATTTTAAAGATTAGTTGAATTAGCAATACATCGCCAATTTAGTCGATCCCTGTAGCATGAATTGTGGAGGTATGGGTGTCATATTGCAATTGAGAAAGGGAAAAATTGTTCATTATAATTAAGAAATTAGTTTACCTGCTAGATGTTGAGGAGGAAGTGAAGTAGAAAAAAGTTTTAAATGCGTTATGTATTTAAAAAACAATTGACTAACTTGGCCCAAAATAGTGAGTTTGTCAAAAGCATATTTGAATGAAAAATTACTCAAAAAAGATTGACCAGCAGTCCAACAATCTGTACTGTTTTTTAATATTGTTTTATATTATGTATATTATGTATTAATAATTCGTAGTAATATTCATTTAATAATTTTGGCCATTTTTAACCCAATATATTTACACATATGTATACGATTTTACAAAATGTTTATTCAAGAAGTGCTCCCTAGAATGGGAGTATGCAATGTTTAAGGCAACTCGATACAAGGTTCCAGATTATTACAAAAGGGGAAAATGTGAAATTCCTGTCTTTCTTGAAAAAGGCCAGGACAAGGTTAATTTGATAATTTATTAAAAATACATTATTCTTAAAAATATTCTCTGACCTATACGAAAGATAAATTCATATAACATAGGTATTCTTGTCATAGGTGGGTGAAGATGATTATATGATGGAAATGATACACGTGTACTAGATTTTTGGAAAAGCCTCGTGTTTAAACGTGCAGGGACACTTTTAATGCAACATGATAGTAATATTAGTGGTCTCCACAACATCATGTAATAGAACTTAATACTGTAACTTGGAAGTCAAAGAGTAACGTTAACTTTTATTGCATAATGATTATACCAATATATGTAAATTTGATCATTTTAAATGTACATGACTTATATGTCCCATTTCATTTCCAGTTGTCTAAGACGCATTTTTGAACATAAGAATTTTAACATATTTTTTTAGATGATAGTATATTAAAGATTATTGCATTTATGTCTCAAAGATTTTCTTACTCAATCAACAAATAAATTAACCCAAACAAGGCAGTAAATGAAGATTGTTACATTTCTGTCTCAAAGATTGCCACCTGCAATCAGCACATAGATTGATCCAAACAAGGCAGTAAATGCAAGTGTTCCAACAAGACATAAAAAATTGAACAGTTCTGAGAAAGTTTTCCACGTGATATCATTGTAGAGCTCTTTCAAATCTTCAGGTTTCATTGAGTGCTTCTCGTCAGAACTGTGCTTCTTCGTACTTTTCAGCGTCACATGCACCGTACCGTTAGAAGAGGTTGTTTTAATCTCTCTGTTTGAGCTGCGTGTACTTTTTTTGGTTACCTTCTTAGTATTTTCACCTTCAAACTCGTGTTTCTGATTTTTGGGATTTGTCACGGTTTCAGATTGAGAGTTACTTTTTTGTTTTTTCGGTGGTTCTGTCAAAATATCAACAATTTCAAATTCAGCTATGTTAGTTTTATGATTCCTGCAGAGCATGAAGTGTGTAAACTTCTTAAGATACAATGACATGTGTGATTTCTCGTCCTTGTGATGCAACCAGACGCTTATTATTGTTGTCAGACAAATAACAGCAGATGTTAACACAAGAAGCATCAGGAAACAGGACAGCACTGACAATGGTTTGGAAGTTCTTGGTAACACGTCATCCGTTAGCGTCAGAAAGACGGCCAATGCTAGCAAACACGTTATAGCGTAACCCACACGTTCTCCACTTTCTGATGGAAGAAGAAACACAGCGGAATTCAACAATAGAAGCATGATGACAGGTACAAATATGGTGAGAACGAAATACGATGATCTTCTTTCCAAGTAGATCGTATATTTTAACATCGCACACTCGATATTATCCGAAGTTAGAATGTATTCAACTGATGCTTTTGTACTCGAGATTTCCCACATTCCACTTTTGGAGAATACACCAAGATCAACATCATCTCGTTTTTGTCGAAAGTCAACAGCATCTTTTGAGTAAATCCATGGTAGTAGTGTAATATCACAACTCTGATGATCAAATGGAAAATGTGTCACGTCAAAACTACAGGCTGTTTCTAGGAAGTCCCCAATAGTTAGAGCGACTGTCCCATTCCTGGATAAAGTGACTAAATTGTCCTCCATGCCTAACTTCTTCACCTTTTTAACAGGGTACCTCATCATAATCGAAGGTATCCAGACTTTGTCCTGAGGAAGTTCAATAGACTTTAGATTGCCGTACGCAGAAGGAACCCATCTCAGCCGTTTGTCTCGCCATGTTAAGGTTAAGGTAACGATGACCGAAAATGTCCCTGAAATTTCGTCTAAGCCACTGATCGACAGCAAGTGCAAGGAGCCTGTCACTATTGTTTTCTCAGATGGACGAACATTTTTTAACAGCTCTTGGTTTGGCGCGTATAAAATCAAATCGGTATATAAGTTTTCAATATCTGTGACGTTTGCTGCTATAGCCCAGTTTTTCAATATGCATGTAAAACAGAAGACAATAGCTTTCCATGTCATTCTGAATATAAAATATACAGTTGACAGCAAATTAAATTTTTCTGAGCTGAAAGAATTAAAGTTCTTTTTCATATAAGATGTTTTGAAGTATTCCGTCCTTTGATAGCCAGCAATTACTAGTGGTAATTTATATACACAATTATTAAAAGTGAAATTTAAATGGATTTAAAGAAAATGCTCTCACTGTCGTCGATCAGATAAAATAAATTACTTTGGTAAGAAGACACGGTTGGTCCATTCACTATGTGCTCAACCAATGGAGCTGATCGTGCATGCGAGTCAAGGCCAGATCAAAAATACCAAGCACAATTCTTGAATCACATGCTGATGAAGAGGTGTCCTGGAAATGGTAATTAATTTATCCACTTCTTGAAAAGAATAAATGGGGTACTGATATTTGTTTAAAAATGTATGTTCACAAAAAATGATTAATCTTATTTTATAGGACTTGAACCCATCTTCTGATAATACATAATTGCATAGAAATGAACTTATTTAACACAAAGGTGAACTTGTACTGTTTTTTTAAAAGTAAAATATTAATAATAAATAAACATTTGTAGAGCGCCCTATTTAATAAAAATTACTCTAAGGCGCTTAACAATACGATTAAAGTAAAATAGATGTACAAGATAGTAATTAAATCTTTAAAAAGAATAAGAAAATGAAAGATGCATAAAAATGGAGAAACATATAAGAAAAAGGAGAGTTAATAAAAATAGGAAAATCAGATATTTGTATTTGAGACATTTAAAAAAAAAAAAAAATTATAGGGGTTTAAAACTCGGGAAAAGCAGTCTTAAAAAGTGTGTTTTTAGCAATTTTTTAAAAACATCCACACTTTGTGCCAATTTTATGCGTGTTGGAAGTTCATTCCATAAGCTGGCGGCAGCCCAACCAAAAGTCCATTCTCCAAAAGACTTAGTTCGAACTTTTGGAACTGCAAATCTTATTGATGTTTCCGATCTTAGTGATCGAGCTGGCTTATAAACTTCAATATGTTCTTGTTGATAGGAAGGAGCACACCCAAAACAGGATGCAGTACATTGCAGGTAAGCATCAGCATCTTAAAGTGTGGTCGATACTGGACCGGAAGCCAGTGCAGCTCCGCAAGGACGGGAGAAATATGATTCCGTTTTGATGTCCTCGAGACAAGTCTTGCCGCAGTATTCTGCACCTTCTGTAACGACTGTAAACGGTCCAAGGTGGTCCTGTTGATTCCAAACAGAAGAGAGTTGGCATAATCGAGCCTTGATGTAACTAGTGCATTGACAAGAGTCTTACATGCATCCGTTATGAGATGGCGAATTCGTCCAATATTACTGATATGAAAGTAACATGTCATCACAGTAGATGACACATGACTCTCAAATGTCAGATGGGAATCGAAATAAACACCAAGGTTCTTGACGAGCAATGTAACAGATATGTCGTTTTCTCCAGCTTTACGATGGTGTAGTGGAATGTTAGCTGCGTTGTGTTTGGAAGAGAAGATAATTAGCTCCGTTTTGTCCTGGTTAAGTTTCAACAGGTTCGTAGCCATCCATGAACTAATATCTGCTATACACGCTTCTAATCTTGAAAAATAGTTATTCCACCCTTCCGTTTGGTCTTATAACGAGGTAAATTTGCATAACAGTGGTAGTACATTCCATGTTGTCGACAGATGGCCCCAATAGGTTTGGAAAACGAACAGTAGAGTTTACGTCCAAGACCATTGAGGGACACCAAATGGAAGAACTCGCTCGGTAGATTTGAGAGAGTTAATTGATACAGATTGACGTCGATTTTCTAAGACTGAATCCACTGTAAGGCTCCACATGTTATTCCATAAGGTGCATTGAGCCTATCCAATAAGATACGATGGTCAATGACATCAAATGCAGCTGACAGGTCGAGGAGCACAAGGAAAACAGATGACCCATTATATAATGCCTGCTAATGTCATGATGCACTTTGAGCAAAGCAGTTTCTGTAGATCGATGCTTTCTGTACGCTGACTGCATTGTGTCACTAAGGCAATTTAAGTTTAGATGGTTGTCTAGTCTCTTACCAACTACCTTTTCAAGTATTTTAGAGATGAAAGACAGATTGCTGACATGTCTGTAGTTTGAAAGGATTTCCTTATCTAATCCTGGTTTCTTGAGCAGGGGCGTAATGACTGCCTCCCTGGAACTAGAAGGAACTGCATATTCTGAGAGAGATGCGTTTATTATTGTTATAATAGGAAGAAGTGAGTCCAAGCATTGTATTTCAGATAAGTTAGGAACGGGCATAAAATAATGATATTCCCCATACAATATAAAATCTGATCCGTTTACGGTTAGCAGGGCAGGTTTGCTATGAGGAATGAAAAGGCGAAGATAACGAACAGTGATCGATTTCAAAAAAATCTATAGAAAAAATATAATTCTGTGAAGAGGGCATAAAACACGGATTCCAGGTTGGATCAGGTGCCTAGGAAAAGAAAGCATCCCCTGCTGGCTGGTAACACCTGCCGTGAGCCCTTTGTATTGATCAGATATGCGGAACATTTCTGCATTTAGTCAAATTCAGTATACAAAGGCCTAACAATCGGTATGAAACAAGTCAGCCAAAGCGACCTAATGATAGGTAATATTTGCTAACAAGGTCATTATAACGACCTTAATTTTAAGAAATGCTGACTTTAAACGAGGTAGTTGAAATCCCTGTCTCATCAACTTATCTGTCAGTAGCCTGCCCCGGTTTTAAAATTGATCGTACCCGGAGCATGTTCTTGAGTATCGAATAAGTTGGGAGATGTAAACACCATATGCGAGTGATAGCGGGATGTTACTACATAATAAGGAAAGTTGACGATGGAAAAGTCATCTCGTTTGTCATACAATTTAGTTGTTAGTTGGCCCTTATTGTCTATAGTCAGTAAAATATCCAAATATGAAATGGATGTGTCAGACTCTGTGGCTTTTATTTCAGGTTCACTGGGATATATCGAATCGACATATGAATGACAGTAACTATTGTTAATTGATAAAACGTCGTCGATATACCTAAAAGTCGAGTTGAAGGTCACATCAAGTGTTTTCTTCTTCTCATGTTTTTTTTGATAAATTCTGCTTCATAGGAATATAAAAATAGGTCGGCTAATAAAGAAGCACAGTTAGTGCCCATAGGAATTCCAACAGTTTGTTGGAAAACCTGGTCTCCGAAGACTACATAAATGTTGTCAATGAGGAACTCCAGCATCCTTTTAATATCAACTCCAGAGTAGTTGTGTGTAGAATCAGAGGGATTTTATCAAAGTAATTTTGTTGATGACCAATCACAAGATAAGCAAATTTCCGAGTTCCATTTCTTTAAAAAAAGCATTTATCTATGATATCAAAAAGTCTAGTTTTTAATTAATCGTGAGGAATGTAAATATAAAGTGTAGAAAAATCGCACATTTGATGTTAATGACTTTTGAACAATTTGGCGACTTTAAAGGCAGAGATTTTTTACCGGGTGGTAAATTCCAGGTGAGGGAGGGGCTTATTTTGTACAGGTGTGAATGCCTTTAGACTAGCAGTCTACCTTTGGTCGTTTGACTCCTAGTCCCTATACACAGGAAGTGATTTGTTACACAGTAGAGTACCCAAGAAGTCAAACTTTACCTCTGTTGGGATTTTGAAATGATTTTTAATTAGAAATAAAAAGTTGTAAATAAAGTTAAATCTCAATAATTTTTTTTTATTAATTTGTAATTGAATTTGTGTCAAAGCATCCCCACCCATTAAAAAAAATTATTATTCAAAGTATTTGTTGAGATTTGACAAAGAAATATACCAAATTTTGATCATATATATTATCATAAAGAATACCATAATTATTTCAAATACTAAAGGTGTATATATATATATATATATATATATATATATATATATATATATATATATATATATATATATATATATATATATATATATATATATATATTATTATTATTATTATTATTATTATTATTATTATTATATATATATATATATATATATATATATATATATATATATATATATATATATATATATATATATATATATATATATATTATCAAGCTAAAAATTCATAGTAATACTCTTTCTCTATTGTTTATACTTTGTGTGGTAAATATCAAAGGATCAAAAGTTAATTTGAAATGTCAATCAAGTTCTAGCACCCAATGATATACCGTAATGCACTTGATTGATTAGGGGTACGCAGACCAGGTATTTTTGAAGGCGGTGCTTAAAATTTCTGCCTTTAAATTTTCTAAAAGTTCTTGGGAGTTTTTGAGAATACACATTTAGTTTATTCCACTTCTAGAATATGCTGTAGCACAGTACGTCTGTTTGTTTGTTGTTTAACGTCCCTCTCAAGAATTTTTCACTCCTATGGAGACGCCACCACTTGCCAGTGAAGAGCTGCAAATTTTGACCTATACTCGGCACTCAGGGCCATTGAGCAGTGAGGGATCTCTTTCGTGCCAGCATCTACTGCGACACGGGACCTCGGTTTATACTGTCTCATCCGTAGGACCGGGAGTACGTCTTAAGTTCTCCTTAATAGCAATTAATATTTTAGTACGTCTGAAGCTCTCTTTAATAGCAGTTAATATTTTAGTAAGGAGTAAGGATAGGGGCGTAGTATAGCATTTGCTTGACCCTGCAATGTATCTCTGTTTGTAATGATTTTTATGAAGTTTAGGATCCATTAAAGGAAGGGTAGATTGAACTCATCTTAGTTGACTGGAATGTCAAAAGTTTTAAATACTGATATGTGATTTTGAAAAATGTTATCTTTAGAAAGTGAACTTCTAAAATACAGATATAATAATTACCCTTACAAACAAAGACGACATCATTAAAGCTTTGTCGGCTGGAACCATAACATATTGTTTATGTAGTTTTTCTAATTCTTGGATCACCTCTGATTTAGTGAAAACGGAAGGATAGATGGTTCGCACATTACCTTTTAAATTTCTCATACGATTCTTCAATATA